AAAAAAAAATTTTTTCATTAAGATTATGGTGGTACAGTATTATGAGTAAATTACAGTATATTATATTTAGTTTTTTTAGGAACCACTATTAATTATATAATTTATTCTTTCGGTATTTTTAGTTAAATTAATTATTCTGTTAAAATTTAACCAATTCCTGCATGGCTATTGATGTTAATTAAAGGTGGTGTTAAAAATAAATTGCTCTAGTTTGCTCTAAATGTCTTAAAATAAATTAAATGCATTTTTGTGAAAATATGGCATTACCATTTTTTATATATATATAAATATATAATACTGCATATGTTTCAGGCCAATTCTGAATCTTATCAAACAAAATAGCTATGACCTATAAATATACTGACCACATATTTCGAGGTAGGATATACTGACCACATATTTCGAGCCAGGATAGAAGGAAAGAGTGTACACACTCTAGCTTGCCAAACACCACCAAAGCTTTCGTCATTCACAGCAGACTTCCAATACCTGATTACGTACTCCTACTGGTAATTAGGTTTTACCAACAAGCATGTGCATATTTAATATATTCACACTTTGACATAATCGATCACATAAAAGATGCGCAGTCTAAAAGAGCTGAAGGTCAGATATTTAAAAAAAAAATCTAACTTTTTACAAAAATGTCGAGACAGAGACATTAGTAAACTTCCTACTTTTCCTGCTAAACCAGAATGACCTTCTCACCCAGTCAGTAGATATCAGACTATAGCATTATATACATAGCTATAGATAGGTCTATACCATTGCAGCATTGTTCTAGGGAAGCTATGACATGTCATAGAAATAAAAAAAATTGCATATTTGAAAAATAAGTTTTATCAAATTTACCATGTTAAACACCATAAGTTAATATATATATATATATATATATATATATATATATATATATATATATATATATATATATATATATATATATATATATATATATATATATATATATATATATATATATATATATATATATATATATATATATAATAATAAAATTGTTTGTACCTTTGAACTTCATTCACTTACTGAAGGTTTACTGTCTCTTTTTTTTTCATCACTATGAAGTCATACAAAATTACCTTAATTTGTGAATATTTTAGAAAACTAGATTTATAATGCATTTTAAATTGAAGAAGTCACAATAGTGGTGTAGTCCATGGGTATGGCCAGAGGTGATAAGTCATGTGCAGGTCTGCATGGCTCGTGGCTGCTTCAGCGTCTTTGTTTTCTTGTGCTAATTTTCAGGCTAAATAGTTGCATTATTTGATTCCATTTCAGTATTTCATGACCTTAAAGAATGTGATGCTAACAACAATGATAAAATATTTACATAATTCCTGCACGATTTTTGTTGCCACTTTATACATACTTGCTTGAGATAGGCTAAATATACCTGAGGCATATTTTAGCCTGTATGAAGCCAGTTTGTATATATTGGCATGTGATATCAGAGGTATATTTGCAATGCCTCTGCATCGAGTCCGAGGCCATATATACCTGACTAAATATACTGACTAAATAGACTAAATATACCTGAGGCATATTTTAACCTATATGAAGCCAGTTTGTATATATTGGCATGTGATATCAGAGGTATATTTGCAATGCCTCTGCATCGAGTCCGAGGCCATATATACCTGACTAAATATACTGACTAAATAGACTAAATATACCTGAGGCATATTTTAACCTATATGAAGCCAGTTTGTATATATTGGCATGTGATATCAGAGGTATATTTGCAATGCCTCTGCATCGAGTCCGAGGCCTAGTCCAAGTCAGGATTACAGGGGTGTGTTGCTTAATTTTGTGTTGTCATCGTCCATGTTACTTGTCTATGATGTCATGCAAGTTAGACCAAAACTATGATGCATGTTTCTTCTGGTATGCCATACTCCTCTGTAAGCTGCTGAATGTTGACCAGACCACACCCTACAAGGTGAAGGGACGACGACGTTTCGGTCCGTCCTGGACCATTCTCATAATCGACTTGACGACGTTTCGGTCCAGGACGGACCGAAACGTCGTCGTCCCTTCACATCCTAGTGTGTGGTCTGGTCAACATACTTTAGCCACGTTATTGTGACTCATCGCCTGCATAAACTGCTGAATGTATCAAAAATTGCATTAATTGTAGAATGCCATGTATTACATACATCTATATCTAAGATGTAATTTGGTAAAAGTAATGGAAAATGGATGAAATTACCAGGTAAATTCAGGTAAATTGTCTTAGCAAATCTTACTGAATGATAAACTCCTTTCTGAGGTGTTGCATGTTCTTTGAAATCTTTCCATAAATGCTCGCATGTTGGATAAGTCTTTCCCATATAGTATGTAAATATCTAACTTTTATAAATTGTCATCCAACATTACACGGACATCAAATATTACAGTACAGCATATATAAAGTCAATAGTATTGGCTTTATATATGTAATACTAAATAAGTATTTTTTGATTAACAAAACAAGTCACCAAGAACAATAACAAAATAAGACTCATCAATCGGGAATAAACAATGTTCTTTATCTACCAGAAACAAAAAGACTCCAACAACAACCATCACTTGTCAGTTTCAATAATGTTATTTTGATAATGTGTGTGTGTCTTCATGTCACCCTTTCTTGTAACTCTTCCCCCATTTATCAGAAATTACATCTTCATTTGTATACATAACTTCACCGATACCTGTCTCTATTGGGCTTCTTTGGTTTTGCCCAAGAGGTAGTGGTTCTGTTGCTCCATATCCAGTCCTGATAGGGAAAGTGATGTATGTTGATATAATCACTCTTGCCTGGTTCTTTGGATGGGTGCCTCGTCAGGTGGGTAGCCCCAATGGTTTGGTCTGTTGTATTCTCTGTTGCCTGGCCTTAGGCACTGTTGCTTGTGGGGTGAGGCAGAGATAAGTCGGCCCATCTGATAAAGTGTTTAGTGCCTAATGGTTAAAATGAGTGAAAGGCATACCAAGCTATTCATACAATGATGTACTGTAGTTTAAAAAGTATATACAGTTCGTGCTAAAGATTTATATACTGTACTGTATTAATATATTTATTTATGCAAAAATAAGTGAAACTCATAGCAAAATGAACGCATTTCTTAAAGAAACATTTTTATATGTTGTCTAGCGGGCATTGCTGTAGATGACTAGTTGGGATACAATGATGAAGATTTACACAATAAAGTATATATTAAGGTTCTGTGATATTCACATTCCAAATATATATTGAATATCTAATTCATTCTTGCTAATGCTATAAAAATAATTTTGTATACAGCAGGGCCTAAGCTAACAACAAAACTTCTAGGGACTTATCTGCAATGAATTACTTTATCCAAGAATGGAGACCTCACCGTCAGAAGGACATCTCTACTGGAGAAGGTTCAATACCAGTGATAAAACTCGTCCCAGAACCGAGTCAACTCTCATACCAGGAACGGTTGAAGGCCACAGGACGAACAACATTATAGCCACGCATGACGAGGCCGATCTCGTCGAGACCTTTAAAATACTGAACACATTAAAAGATGTTCATTCAGACCACTTGTTTAGTAGGTTTAATGCGACCTTCAAGATTTAAACAGCTGCAAGCTCAAGAAGCCACACTGTATATAACAAAAAACCAGAGCTGCATTTCTTCTATAGGGAAATCAACCCCTGGATTTAATTACCTGCTGAATCCGTAAATGCCAAGACAGTCCTACAGTTAGAAATTCAGGTGGAAAATTCCTCAGGAAAGAAGGGAAAAAACGTGTACAAGTCAACCGGCTTCCTGTCCCTGTCGAGGCCATAGAGATGGTGGCCCCTCGGGTAAATTCAGGTAAATACTGTAATATTACCTACAGAGCATATCTGTACAAATTATATTTGAATTTACCTGGTCACCATCTATATTAACTCTATTAATTATTATAAATTTGTGCATAAATTATATGTATCTTGAAATGTTTTGCATTGTTTTCACTTAGTGCAGAAGCATTAGCTTGGAAGCATCACTTGGTAGCTTACTGTGTAATGCTGCTAAGTTATACCAGTTGGTCAATTTTGTTGAGATCTATCACAATACAGTACTGTATTAATATTTTACGTGTTATTCCGTATTTACTTAATTGTGAAATTTACATGAGCACGTTTAAAATTGAAAGTAATAAGAAGTTTTATGTTGGGATATAGGGGTAGAGCCAGGTACAAGCGCCGGGTGCGGTGTCCAACACAACGTGAGTGTAACGGTGTATTATATATTTGTGTGTGCGTGTGTAATTGCTTAGTGTAGTCTCTACAGGATGAGAGCTATGCTTGACGTGTTCCATCTTCTCACTAATCTTTGTTGAGCTTCTGGTGGTTTTAGAATTCACTTTCTTCTAATTTATTTCATCCATCTTCCACTCTGTTTGCAAAAGAATATTTATATACATGTTTGAGGCACATACTGTAGTTAATTTTCATGGCTTGAATTTATGGCCTCTTTATTTTAAAAGTTGCAGATTTAAACAAAACGCCTCCTTATCAATTTTGTCAATTCCTATTACACTTTTTTATATACTGATCATTCCACCTATTTTTTTCCTTCTGTCCACTAGTAGCATGCCTGTGTAATTGTCCAAGTGTAGTTACAGGATGAGAGCTACACTCAAGGTGTCCCGTCTTAAGAATTTTTGGCACATGACGCTTTGAAACTACTGATGATTGTTTATATTTGTGTGTTTGTTCTGCTTCCACTGCCAACATTACTCAAGGACTACTATGAGGAGGCACCTCTATGACTTGCTCCTCAGGAATTAAGAATAACAAAACTAATAAATACTAAAAGAAAAAGTTAAAACTACACTATTATGGTTACCATTATACAGAATATTATTCAGTAAGGGTTTAGAAATTAAATTACAAAAATACATTTTGTCTAAAGATGCCAATGCAAAGGCAATATCGCAACCCTAAATAACAATCATGAGATCTAATACCACATGATTTATTTCCAGGAGTTTTATCCGGCATGCGGCGCTCCAGAACTACACCTCACCAGGCTACAGCATTTGTGTCTAAAGGACCACTTGACTCTAGACCAGGAACTAGAGACACACGCCCGACATTTGAGAGCCCATTTGTCTACGAAGGAAGGTGTAACCATGGCAGTATGGAGGAGCTTTCCAGTCAAGCATTGGCACAGAGTGAGATGCAGCCTTTCAGAAAGTCAAGCTCGCAGAGTGTGTGCCTAGAGAAAGGTGTGGATCGTGCTTTGGTCGGAGGTGGACTGCCTCAACAAGATCTCTTTTTTGACAGTAATGGACATATTCGAGACACACTTTCTACATCGAACTCTCGTAGAGAAGAAATTCCAAGGGTGGAGCCTCGAATGATCCACACGCCAAGTCTTAGCCTGCAGTGCAGGACTGAGAGTGGCATAGAGGCCCACGAAGTGGAGACGTTACATCTCGATAACGTGTGATACTCAACATTTGCAGTTGAACTTCTTTGATAAATGGCTTCTTTTGGTATGGAGCATTCATGGTAATAGACATTATATGCTCCTTGTTGAAACTAAAATGTTTAGCATTTTCCTGCACTCGGAATTAATGGAGTAATACAGTATATGGATTAAACAACTCGCCCTGGAAGTTCATGTATTCAATGCGCTCATAGCATATAGCAGCTGATTCCATACAAAAACATAAGAGTTTTGCAAATGTTTAAGTCAACTAACTCGTCATTTGCAACCATCAACAGTTATCAAAACTTTCAGGAGAAACAACTGTTCATTGTAGCAAATTGATGTAATTTATAAATTAATTTAATACATATAATTTTGTAAGTTTATATATTTCATTAAGCCCATGTCATTTACCTGGTTTCTATACATAAAATGTTATTCAGTATAGTCCCCACCATTTCTATTACTCAACATGACCTAAAGATTATATGAAGTTTGATAGAGCAAAGAGCAAAGGTAAGTTGATACAGCTCATGTGAAGTCTGTTAAACGCTGATCAAGTCTGAGACATGAAAAGTGACAACTTTGTGTCAAAATTGTCCATTGTCGTTTGTTGTTCTTAGTGCCACCTCGGTATGATACCAGAATCATTTAATTTGTAATGGGATTATGAAAATAGCCGTGTAGAACTAACACGTCGATATTGTGTACAAACAGTGGCAGTATAAGAGGCTGAGGCACACACTGGACTAATTCATAATGGTCATTTTCACCCTCAATCTGAATCAAGATTTCATCCTTTTGTCCTCAAAACATAAACACACATATGTCATTTTTGGAAAACAAATCTCCTCCAATATTGGAACATTCTGTGATAACCCCCTCAGGTAAATTCAGGTAAACTCTTATCAGTAAGCTACATCAGAAAAATTTCCAGTACAGCATATAACGACATATAACGACTCAGAATTAATAAACCAAAAGGGGGATTACCTAATTACAATACCACTAAATCAATATTCACTTTTTTTAACAAAAGACACATTTATTTAATGAACTGGCCTGAAAGTTATGTTTTCCTTCCACAGATTTCTCCCTCATTCCCACGCTACATCCAGGAAACCAGAGCAGGAGTATGTATATGGCACCGGCTGAGTTTATTGCCCCTCATTTGTCAATGGCTATAGAGGAGACTGGAGAGGGGGAAACGGTTGGGGAGGAAGATTGGAGAGGAGGGTTTGGAGGAGGATTGGGACAGGATTGGCCACCGACGGTCTCACTTGCCTAAGGACATTTGACTCCACCGTTTTATGGCATGAGAGGCCGGCACAACATAGGGGAGGGAAAAGGGAAGGAAAGATGAGGCAACGAGGGAGGGGGAAGAATGAACAAGGGGAAGGGGAGGGGGAAGGGGAAAAGGGGAGGGGGGGGGAGGAGGAAAGCTCAGGACTGTCGTAACTCGAAAAATTTGTAAGTACTGTACTGTAGGGGCATTTGTAAGTCAAGGTTCCACTGTACACTGAGAAATACTAGGCTAAATGTTATTCTAATACAGTTTGTGAGAAGTCACATCAATGCAAATTAATAACCAATTTTGTTATTATTTGCCAATTAAAAGGTTCCAATAATGGAACCTAATTTTAAGTGTACCAAACCTGCATTAACTCCATAAAGTGTCAATTAAATAATTACCTAATTAACCGAGAGGTAGCCGAGATGCAGTAATGAACCTTGCAGCATGGCAACCATTTTGCCATGATGGTTCATGGCAAGTTCGCCTGACTAGGTCAAGAGGCGTTACTCCTGGTCCCTCTGTCTGGTCAGTTCACCAACCACAACTCTACAAGGACACGTAAACAAGATTGTGTATCCCTCTACAAGGACACATGTAAACAAGATTGTGCGTCCCTCTACAAGGACACATGTAAACAAGATTGTGCATCCCTCTACAAGGACACATGTAAACAAGATTGTGCATCCCTCTACAAGGACACATGTAAACAAGATTGTGCATCCCTCTACAAGGACACATGTAAACAAGATTGTGCGTCCCTCTACAAGGACACATGTAAACAAGATTGTGCATCCCTCTACAAGGACACATGTAAACAAGATTGTGCATCCCTCTACAAGGACACATGTAAACAAGATTGTGCACGTAAACACATGCACAATCATTATTACATCAGCCAAATGGGTAAAGTTTTTTCTAAACTTTAAAACAACACTCAATTCATATGGCCCAGCATTTTAGTGCATTGTATTTACATTCCAGTTTATTAAATCTTTCTATCGACTTAAAGAGGGGCAAAATGCATTGATCAGTGCAAGGGTTTTGTTTAACAAAATTTTATTGAGTCGGCCTTGATTAACCAATGTGCCAGTAGCCTTAATGTTAGCCTTGGTATGTACAAATTAAATCTGCATCTAAGTCGATTTAGGTAAGTAAGTAACTAAGCAGTAAGTGCGCCTGACAGCTGGGTGGACAGCGCTTCGGATTCGTAGTCCTGAGGTTCCGGGTTTGAACCCCGGTGGAAGCGGAAACAAATGGGTAAAGTTTCTTTCACCCTGATGCCCCTGTTACCTAGCAGTAAATAGGTACCTGGGAGTTAGACAGCTGCTACAGGCTGCTTCCAGAGGGTGTGTAACAAACAGGAGGCCTGACCAAAGACCAAACCGTTGGGATGCTAAGCCCCGAAATCATCTCGAGATAACCTCAAGATAGCATAGCACATCAGTACATAATAATATAAGCACCCCTGTAAGGATATTTAATTTTTGTGTTTTTACTTAAGGGGCCATAATGCAATATATTCATAGTAGTTCAATGTCAACCAAACTCTTTTGACTAGTTGTATATGAAAAGGGCTGCAATTGTTCCAAGTTTCAGTATTGCAACCTAAATAGAAAGGGAGATTTTTTTCCAACGAATTTTACACATTTTCAAATCGAAACTACAACCACAAGTTTCAAATAAAATCATTTCTATGACACTTTTCTATCACATGAGAATATAATAAAAAAGTCTGTTTCAGTGGATTTTTAAAAATATGTTTAGTTTTACTAATACAAATAGTCAAAGTTCCATAAAAAAAAATATGCAAATATATCATGGTTTATTACTATTATAAAATCAATAAATGAACTTAGGAAAAAAAAGCTTGAAACAGATTTGTAGAAACATAAACTCAACATATAAAGTGTAAGTTTCATGTAAATTGAATAAAAAATGAAAGTTATAGGAATGTTTAATGTTACTTGAAAATAAATAAGTAAAAATAAAGTCTAAGGTGCTGCCATCTGTGGCTGAGGTTGATATCAACCAATTTCCTCCAAAATTGGCACCCTTACAGATAGGCTTATGTGCAGTCAGGTGCATAAGTTTCATGGAAATCGTCCAATAATTGAAAATTATTGGACGATAATAAATAAGTCCAATAAACGAGATATAAGCAGTTGGCCCAAATATAGTTTCACCACAAGTTCTGAGAGAATGTGCACCTGAGCTCACCATTCCACTTCAACTGATTTTTCAGGCATCCCTTTGTACAGGAGTTCTAGCAGGTGTGTGGAAAAAGGCTAACATAGTTCCAATCTACAAAAGTGGCAGCAGGGAAGAACCTCAATTATAGACCTGTATCATTGACAAGTGTAATAGTCAAAATATTGGAAAAAATAATTAAAACTAATTTGGTAGAACACCTGGAGAAAAACGACACAATAACAGACAGTATAGTTTTCGATCTGGAAGATCCTGTGTAATGAATTTACTCAGTTTCTATGATCAAGCCACAGAGATTTTACAGGAAAGAGATGGTTGGGTTGACTGCATCTATTTGGACCTAAAAAAGGCTTTCCACAGAGTTCCTCATAAGAAATTATTTTGGAAACTGGAACATATTGGAGGAGTGACAGGTAGGCTTCTAACAGGGATGAAAAATTGTCTGACAGAAAAATGAGAGCAGTAATCGGAGGCAATGTATCGGACTAGAGAAATGTCACGAGTGGAGTACCACAGGGTTCAGTTCTTGCATCGGTAATGTTCATTGTCTACATAAACCTTCTACCAGATGAAATACAGAATTATATGAACATGTTTCCTGATGATGCAAGATAATAGGGAACCTCAAGGTAAGATAAGAAACCTAGATGATTGGCATGCCCTTCAAGAAGACCTGGACAAAATAAGTATATGGAGCACCACTTGGAAAATGGAATTTAATATGAATAAATGCCATGTTATGGAATATGAGAACACAGACTCCACACAACCTATAAATTATGTAAGAAATCTTAAAGAATTCTGATAAAAGAAAGAAATCTAGGGGTGGTTCTAGATAGAAAACTATCACCTAAAGACCATTGAAGAACATAGTGCAAGGAGCCTATGCTACACTTTCTAACTTCATAAATAATACATGGATTACGAAATACTGAAGAAATTGTTCATGGCTTTCGTTAGACCAAAGCTGGAATATATAGCAGTTGTATGGTGCTCATATCTTAAGAATATCAACAAACTGAAAAAGGTGCAAAGACATGCAACTAAATGGCTCCCAGAACTGAAGGACAAGAGCTATGAGATAAGGTTAGCGGCATTAAATATGCCAAAACTAGAAGATAGAAGAAAAGCTGTGATATGATCACTGCGTACAAAATAGTAACAGGAATCGATAAAATTGATAGAGAAGAATTCCTGAGACCTGGAACTTCAAGAACAAGAGGTCATAGATTTAAACTAACTAAACAAAGTTACCAAAGAAATATAAGAAAATTCACTTTCACAGAGTGGTAAACGGTTGGAACAAATTAGGTGAGGTGGTGGTGGTGGAGTCCAAAACCATCAGTAATTTCAAAGCATTATATGACAAAGAGTACTGGGAAGATGGGATACCATGAACGTGGTGTCTAGGGGTCTCTGGGGGTCTAGTTCAACATGAGCAAGTGTAAAGTTATGGAAATGGAACTAGGTGACAGGAGACCAATGGGTTAGAACACAATGAAGGGAAACTACCGTCCTGTGACAATTCGAGAAAGGGATATGGGAGTGAACTTTACACCAAATCTAACTCCTGAGTCACATATAAATCAGATAACAACAACAGCATAGTCTACACTAGCAAAAGTTAGAACGTCATTCAGAAACCTAAGTAAGGAGGCATTCAGAGCGCTTTACACTGCCTGCGTGAGACCAGTCTTAGAGTTTGCAGCCCCCATCACGGATCCCCTAACCTAAAGACACGCATTAGGAAACTGGAAAGGGTTAAAAAATTAGTGATGAGGTTAGTCCCGGAATTGCATGGGATGGGATATGAAGAGCGACTGAAGGAATTGAACCTGACGACGTTAGAAAAAAAGAAAGCGACGGGGAGATATGATAGCAGCATACAAGATACTTAGAGGGATTGACAGAGTGGAAATAGACTAAATGTTCACATGGAATACCAATAGAGCAAGGGGAAATGGAAGCTGGAAACTCAGATGAATCACAGAGATGCTAGAAAGTTTTCTTTTACCGTGAGAGTAGTGGGGAAATGGAATGAAATAAAGGAGCACATTGTGGAAGCAAACACTATTCATAGCTTTAAAACTAGGTATGATAGAGAAGCATAGGAGTCATTGCATTAAAGGACCGAAGGCTAGAAAGACGGGATTCAAGAGTCAACACCTGATCCTGCAGGCACAAATAGGTGAGTACACACACACACTAAGTATCTCTTTAAATATGTGTTAAAATCAAAACTCTTTATAGTTAGGAACTTTTATTCAGATTAGTCTCTTAAACATTTAAAATAAATTACAGTAACATGATATTGTTCTCAAATCATTCATATTTGTATTATGTTAGTACTGTATACTGTAAACACATTATATGGTATACAGTACTTTGTTCATTGACGTTATCTGGACATTGTATATTATGCACATATTTCTGCAACATCAAAGGCTAAACCTCACTTCCTTGTGGTCACTGACAAATAAACATAAAGTGTGATGCATAACTTATGCATTCCTACAGTTCAGAATTCAAGAAACTGAGCAACAGAGAACATTATAGAGCATAAAAATGTCACCTGATCACATAAGTCCCGTTCTTCTTGACAGCGGGAATTATACTTGAAGAGGGAAACCAGAACGTGGGGGGGAGTAGAAACAGCCTAAGCTACTCTATCCCTTTGAGATGTATTTCTTGCTTATCTCAATGAACATACTTGAACTTTGACCAGAACGTGTTTAAAGATCAAAAACAGTACCCTGCCGGTATTTCTTAATGAAATTATGGAAGGTGAAGCGTATGAAGCAGACCATCAACTGGCAAAAGAAATACACAAAGAGGAAAAGAACCAGAAAAACGGCTTTCGCTGAATGGTAAATTTGTTAAGACGAGAAGAAACTGAGGCGCCTAAATAGGAACCATCAACTGGAAAAAAAAAAAAAAAAGAGTTGCCCATTTACTTTCTTATTAATGAATAAGGCTAAAGAGTCTGCTATGGTACCTACAATAATTTAAAACAGTACAGTTGTAATATTACCAGAAAAGGTATAATTTGATAACCAATAACTGGCAAAACTTCATATTCTATATGAATTCCCAATAGATGATAGCTATGGAATAACACATTTTGAACCCACTCTACCTCACTTTGCAGTTACTTTGCGTTGATTCCGGGGGTCAAGGTCCCTGCAGCCTTGATCCCTCTATAAGGCAATTTTTCATTAAATTAATCTCCACAAACTACCTTTTCCACACATTTCAGATGATGATATCTGGAAGCAAGCAGCTGCTTCTTACTATAGAATACAGCTGCCGTAACATGCACAATACGCACACTAAAATATTAAAGCTTGCATCAATCTGACACACACATGAAGAAAAAATGTTCCAATCATTAAATTCAAAGGAAAAAAATACATTTGACTTATGCAGAGAATAAGTTACAAAAACATGATTGAAATATAACCCAACCCACACATGAAATGAAAGTTATGAACCAAAATGTTGCCAGGTTCACTTCGTGTGTGGGTGCTAGAGTCTTTCAGGTTCGGTACCTTCTTTTGACAATTACTAACTTTGTGCATGGGGTTGGATTATCAATTTTCTTCTATACTTTCAGTGTACATAAAAAAGTAAAGCATTTAAATCTGAGGCTGATCAAGTAAAGTTCATACTCAAATAATCTTAAAATTTTAGTGTAAATGCTTTTTACCTGTTAAAACATCAATCAAGGAATCACTGATTCACTGCACAATGCTTCTTCTAAATCTTTCATGCTAACTTCTTCAATGTTAGTTTTGAGGGAATTAGATGGACTCATCCTTTGATGCCAATGATTGGCACCTCCTTTTCTTTGACCTCTCTTGCTTCTATTCCCTCGAATAAAACCTCTAGGGACTCCAACGCCAAATGATACACAGTTTGGAACTTTGTTAGCAACTGTCTTTCTATTACAAACAAAAGCATTAACACCCTTTCCACTGATATTTTCTGATTCTCTCTTGTCTACAGCAGCTTCACAACCAGCTTCTTCAAATTCCATAGTCATTTCATTATGATTCATCATACCTGATTTTTTGTTTTTTCCCAATTTTCTCCATGCCATGTCAAAGCGAAAGTCTGCTGGGAACTTATGACTGTCTATACAGTGAGTCTTCCTCTCAGCTGGAGTGTTGAACTTTTCCGAGCATGTCTCCAAGAGGCACTGATACTGCATAGGGAACAACATATTAAGGACACGTTAAAACTGACATCCTCCTTCACAGCCCTCAACTGATCATCTTTAAGTTATTGGCTTAACTTCAATACAGTATTGTCAATCACATGAGCCTTAGCACACACCACCATTCTCTGTACTCTTATAAATCACATCAGCAACTCTGAACCTCAAGTCCTAATCATCAATTCTGTCACAGATGGTAAAAGTCAAGAATACAAACACATGTTAGCTCCTTTAGCATAAGTATTTAAGCTTTACTTATTGAGAGTTTTATGTTTCACTCGTTTCATTAAGTACAAATACTGTATAGGAGCTTTTGAAGTATTTTTCAAAAAATTACATATACAGTATTAGTTTGTCTATCATATGAGTGAAGCTGTTGTCATATGCTTGCTTGCACCAAGACACAAGAATGAGTGGATACACAAGGACTGCCTCAACAAGCAACATAATAGAGGGAAAGAAATGGAAAAAGACACAATGGCAAATAAAGCAAAAAATAAATCAGGCTTTGTGCACCTGAATACGATAAGCTGATTTCTGAGCAAAACACCTGGATGCTGCATTAGGAATGGTTCTACTGGTTCCACATGCAGACAGGGTAGATGTTAATAAAAATTGGGACAATAAGAGATACTGTACAGAGAGTAATTGCACTATTTCATATATCATTGAGAAAATCCGCAGGAGCTGTGATGAGGATTCAAACCTATGTGGTGGGTATTCCCACACACACACACACACGCTCTAGACAACTAGGTCAGGACATGGATAAGGATTGCAGCCTCATCACGGCTCCTACGGATTTTCTCAAGATATAGGGTATTTTAAAACCCTTCCACCGGGTTATACTTTTAAAAGGGAGACTGGAGAACACTTGATCCCATACCAAATGACCTCTAGAAAGCCAAATCCAATATACATTCAAAGATTTTCCAAGCATTACTTTGCATCACAGGAACTGACAAATGGCATTCTCACTATCCACTAGATGACCCACATGGTCACATCCCCTGACTGCCACCAAGTGACAGCACATACACTCTTCCCACCTCACATTCTACTGACATGAACTGCCTTATAAAGCACAGGGAAACAAAGGAATAATAGCAACCTAGTTCCCTGCTGAGAAAGAAGCTCTAAGTTGACAGTACTGAACACTCAAGTTTAATTTATACCACTCAATTGCTTCCTTAAGCAGCTGGAGATAAAGCATGCCTGACAACTGAGAAATGGGGTGAAAAAACATCAGCCTGAAAAGCCAGCAAAAGAAACTCAGCTCAGGCCAAACGTTATGAGGTGATAGATGGCATCAAACAGCAACCCAACAGGAACCAGGAAAGAAAACACATCACAACGGCAATTGAAATAGAGGACAGGCACAAAAGAGAGGCAGGCCTGTCACCTCATAGTCACAAATGCAACATCAACACTTCTGCCACCTGACCTCAGACAGAGCCAGACTATGGTCCAGGCTCCCAGTAGGCAAACGGGAGTCTCAGAGGCCGTGTGCATCTAAGGCCTGACTGGGCTGGTGCTAGTGCTCAAGGAGTTACTGAGGAATAAATGATGATGCCCTCCCAGATAAATATATAAACATGGCAGAACCATAAGATACTGTACTGTATCACTATCAAGAACACTGAGATACAAAAATGGGAATATGGCATACAAAATTCCATTATACTGATTCTATTTTATACAACCCAGTTATCATCCTTTCAACAAGAAGATATGCCAATTAGTATTCATATCTACACAGTGTTCACTTCACTTCTTTATAGGAATTCAAAAACCAATATACGTATATGAAGCTGTCTACCAGGCCCTTATACCTACCATGGGTTGTTTTGCTGCCATAACTTGAAAAAGAGTGTCATGAGCTTCCAGAATATGGAGATCTAGTAAATGGTGCGATGGAAGAGACTGCTTGCAGGTACAACAGACATGGCTATGACATGTGCGGTGATGGCTTGCGTGTTCAGCTACCGTACTGAACCGCTTGTTACACCCAGCTACACTGCACTTTGTCTCAATCCTGTGACAAAACACAAGATAATATGGTGCATTATAATAATTTACTAATAACATGAAAATATATATACTGTATTATATATTACAAAATATTGGCTTAAAAACAGTGTTGAATATAATGAAACACCTCTTTCTGATGGGTTCATCAGTGGCTCCCTGTTAATACATCTTGGATAGCTCCACCCAATTTCAATCACAACAGGCCCTTGTGAGTCCTAAAAGCCTACCAGAGACCAGAGACCAAAACCTGGTCCCCTTACAGAGGTACAAGGAGCAGAGGAGTAATAATCACTCTGAGGGAAATGATCACCAGAAATACATCTTAACAGTCAACAGCCAGGTAAAATATAAACTGAAAAACACAAGAAAAACAATATGACAAAAAATTATCCAAAATGGAATAGCGTAGTATATGGTAAAAACCAACACAGATAATGGGAAACCTAGCAGGCCACCTGTTTTCTTTCTAGTCTCAGCCGACTGCCACAGCTGAGGCTTCCCCAGTGTTATCTAATGGAAAGCCACACACCCCGACAGATCTAGAAAAGGGAAGGGAGGGTCCAGGAAGCCACAAAGGAACGCCACCAGAAAGAGGCATTTCATTACATTTAATGCTGCTTTTCTGGGAGGGCCCTGTTGGTGACTCCGTTGTTATCTTGCCACTAAGAATGAAAACACCAGAAATCACTAGGTGTGGAGGAGAGGAAAAGTTGATAACCCCCAAAGAAGACATTAGGGATGGGAAACCTGACCCAAGGCCAGCCACACAAGCCTAGCCCAACACATTAACCTAATATCAAGCCGCCAAAACTCTGTTTGAACCCAGAACCCATATATCAGCCTAAGATTTATTGGCAAACAAAACAGACAAAGCCACAACCTTCTGCACATATGGCCCGAGGGTAGACCATAGGCTGGTTATACTTGATGACACTGCGAACGACGTGAGATAATTGGGCCCCTAGAACAAAGCACCAGGGACACCAGATCCATAAACAATACATCACCCAAAACATTCCTGGTTAAATGCAAGTAACGACAGACAGCCATCACAGGACATAAGCTATGATGCACCTCCGGCCGAACGGCCTACAATTTAAGAGCCTTAAATCTTTATGAAAGAAAATTAGAACAATTGAAATCAAACATGATCACTTGAATTTAACAATAACAAAATGATTATCTTCCAAGTTTTGTTTGAACAATACACAGAATCATGGAAAACAAAAGATTATAATATTTATTCTAACAGCTTTGGATCAGAAATCAGGCATGTTTCAATATGTTAATACAGTACAGTCTGCATATTCGAAGAGTTATGAGTGATTTTGTTGTCTTGGTCTATGCACCAGAGCAAGTGTTATGCTGCAGGTTCTATTAACCCTGATTGTTTGGTTACTCCCTTCTGTGCATAAATGGGTGACTTTATCCTAAACCAAAATAACTATTAATTTAAACTTTGTTTGACATCAACATCTAATTTAAAAAAAAATTCACTGCAAATGCACAGTGCTTCCAGAAATAATACCTAGAGTGATGAAAGTCCTCGTCATCCAAGTCAATACATGGTATCTTCCTAAGAGGACAGCAAACACTTTGTCCTTGCGCAAAGAGAGGATCATCCCAGGTTCGATGATGTACTCCAAGAGACACCAGATAGGTCCACGCGTCGTGTGTTCCCATTCTGAAATAATTGGTTTAACAATTAAAGGAGATACATAACAATATAAATACAGTACAAAATATGCATAATCCAACTTGCACAATATTATTTTAATTATAAATAAATCACAGTGTGCTATATGTAATTAACTGACACTCATTACAAATGAGTGTAATATGTGTAAATATTTACAGTGTAAATTACATTTAAAAGCAAAATAGTACAGTACTTACATAACATGACCTTTCTGAATGATAACTTGCATCATTCATATGATTCTCACATTTATACTTTTTTATTTATATATATATAAAAGAGTTCTTACATGCTTGTACAGCCACTAGCACGCGTAGCAGTTCGGGCAGCTCCTAAATCCTATGTGCCCCGGAATATTACCCGCCAAATCGTTTAACAACCAGGTACCCATTTTACTGTTGGGTAAACAGAGGCTACAGTTAAGGATTGACGCCCAGTAAATCCTCCCCGGCCAGGATACGAACCCAGGACAAAGCGCTCGCGAAACACCAGGCGAGTGTCTACCACTACACCACAGGGCACATTCATATACTGTATGTGGGATGTATACTATTTGGATATAGAATTACTTAATGGGAACTGTCTAAAAGCACAGTAATAATTTTATTAATATGTATTCAAGTAATACAACTCCTCCTGGGCTCCCTCTCAAGTAACAAACATCCTTAGATTAATTAAGAATTTAGTGTTCAAACGACTTTTCAGTTACTCCCGAGAGAGCTGAACTTATTTGTTCTAAGATCTGCTGTTCAACAATGTGTGGAACACCAAAACACCAAAAATTGAAGTTCTAGAGTTGAAAAACAGAAAATTCTCTCCCCAAAAAAACTATGAACTATAGTTAACCGCAGGTTTAAAGACCAGACGAGACTAGCAGTTTGTATACGAGATCGTTATCTCCCGATGACCAAATGTTGTAGAATACCATTCATAAGTTAATGCAAATACAAACAGAAGTATTATTATTACTGACATTTATCTGGAGCGGGAGCGTTTGGCGCCAACAGCTGCTGATGTTTACAAACAACGCCAACACCCCCCCCCCCCCTAATCCTAAGGACACTTGGTACATATTGTTTTACCATTTCAAACAAAAAATTTGGACATTTCATATATATATAACTAACTAACTCATATATAACGTGTATATTAAATATTAAAACCACAATATATTATTAGTATTAACAGTTAACATCTTCTACTTAACAGTCATATACAGTAGTTATTAGCAGTGCTGCCAGATTGGGCTACAAATAGCGAATTGGACTACTTTTGAGAGCCCCGCGCTCCCAAATTATTAATTTCGCTACTTTCTACTTTTTGGGCTAATTTAAAAGCGAGATGTGCTAATTTGGGCTATTAATGTTAAGAATGTACGATTGCGAGTTACATGAAAGTAACTGAGCTATAAATAAATGTAATTAATAATAATTGTAAATATTAATTAATACTAAATAATATTATTTAATAAATTACTCCCAATTCAATGCAGAGTTTTCTTCCAAGCACAGAAACTTGTAAATATAAATACAAGATAATAGATAGATCGATAAATAAATAGACAACTTTCAAATATTGCACCAAGTAATGGCGAGAGGGAAAAAAACTAGACAGTATACATTACATTTGAAATTAATAATGGATGAATGGTAATAAATTGGTGTATGTTTGTATGTATACCAGACAAAGTCCATTTAATGGCAGAATTTAGCCATTTTGTGTAAAAACTTTTATATCTCATATTATTAATTATAACAGTAATCGAAAAAAGTCATAGTTTGTATATACAAGAGATGAAACAGAGAGCCATGAGCTAGAGCGATGTGCTGAGTCCATAAGGAGGCGGAGCTTCCAGAGATACCTTCCTGTGATTGGCTGTTGCGGGGAATACCAACACTCTTTTATGAATAAAATTTAAACTAAGAAATAGGTCCTTGTGCACAACAACAAGGTTGTTGTGAAAAAGAACAACAATTTCTGTTTTGCACCTGACAGAAATCTCCATCTAACTGAATAATTTACTCGAATAAGAGGGCAGAGCAGCGTATCATTATTTGTGTGAGGCAACCCCCACTGATGACGTCACAAGTTAGGTAGCCAGCCCATGTTTCTGTAACACTCGTTACATCCTGCAGTATTTAATTATCACTATATTAATACTTTTAAATACTTAACATTTCACTTTTTAGATAGATTAAAGTTGAAGCAGAATGTCATAAGCAAGGATGGTGTGCTGAATAAAGATGATTTATTAAGTGGATGGAGCCTTTAGCTGATCCCTTCCTGTGATTGGCTGTTGTGTGAATGTCAACAAAGAGTTTCTACCAATGATATGCCATTTATTATGCACCCCATACCATCTGTGGGCGGAGCTTGGAACCTCCTACCCGAGCACAACAACCCGCCTTATGGGTTGCTGTTTGGCTATTTATAGTGCGTTGGAAAAAAACTAGATGGCGTTAGTGGTATTTTGTGGGGTAATTTGTTATAGGTGTAATTTGATGTCAACAGATGGCGTAAGCTGTACCTTATGGCCACTGTTGACCAGCCAGTTGATAGTGTTCTCTTCTGCCGACAGATGGCATCAGCTGTGTTATTATTACTTCCGAATTCCCTTTAAACACTGATCTACAAATCCCTTGGCTTATGATAAGGTTTTATACCATTTATGATAAGTATTAGATAACTGGAGTTCCGCAATTACTTTTATTTATCAACTGTTGAGGATATCATCATATAACGTCTGGTTAGGACGTACTGCTCTCGATTGTTGAAGATTAAGCCACCCAAGAGGTGGCACGGGCATGAATAGCCCGTAAATACTGCTCTCGTAATATTATTCAGGGGGTGGGGGGAACTATCAAGTGAAAGCGCCAAGCCATTACGACTATATAGCACTGGGAAGGGGTCAGGATACGGATTTGGGATGGAACGGGGGAAAGGAATAGTGCCCAACCTCTTGGGCGGTCGGGGATTGAACGTGGACCTGTAGGAAACGAGTCCGTCCAGCCCAAGTGGTTAAGCGTAATATTATTAAAACAACAATTTATGCATATAATAACAGCATTTCACACTAAAAATACTTGGCTATATCGAAATTTGGTAGTGAATTCCAATCTAGGAATCTCCTATGACTAAACTGTACTTTTTAATAATTTTTATGTACTTGCTACTTATTATTAAATTATTAAGTACTTACTATAATAATTAAATGAATTATTTTATTTATTATTTAAATTAAATGATAAAATAATAGGTAATAATAAATCATTGTGTAGGGGGACAGGCAGCCAGTGTATATATACATGTTAGGCTTATACGAAGGTCCCACAAAGGTGCCAAATCAAAGACTGGGTGCTGCAGGGGCGGGCCCAAGGGGTTGTTTAATCTTCATCAATTTCATTTCACTTGAGAATGAACCATGGAGGTTCGAAACGTTGTGCAAATTGTATAAATAAGTGTAATACATTTTAGAGTAATTCACTTTTTTTCTTCACCTTGAAATAACGAAAATGAGTTTTGGAGAACTCCTCTTTCAGCTAAGCCCTGATGCTAGGAAAATAGTTAGAGGGATAGAAGCCCTAAACCAGAAGATAGTAAATACTGAATACGCGGTCATATTCAATGAGACATGTTTAAAAGAAAACCTGCTGCCAGTATACACCAATATATATATATATATCTATATATATTTCGGGTATAAAATCAACTAGTATTGTAAGATCTGTTCACTTGAGAATGAACCATGGAGGTTCGAAACGTCGTGCAAATTATACAAATAAGTGTAATACACTCTATAGTAAATCACTTTTTTTCTTCACCTTAAAAGTACGAAAATGAGTTTTGGAGAACTCCTATTTCAATTAAGCCCTGATGCTAAGAAAATAGTTAGAGGGATAGAAGCCCTAAACCAGAAAATAATAAATACAGAATATGCGGTCATATTCAATGAAACATGTTTGAAAGAAAACCTGCTGCCAGTATACACCAATATATCAATATATATATATATATATCTATATATATATATATATATATATATATATATATATATATATATATATATATATATATATATATATATATATATATTATTAAATATGACCGAAAAAGTAAGATTAATAATTCTAACACGAATTTTCTCAATCTTTCGTACGACGTTAGTCTCTTTTAAAGCGTTCTGTTTTGTGTCTGGAGAGTCTATGCCTTCAAATGCCCTCTTGGGGACTGTAAGCTCCAAAAAACCCAGTATATAGGCAAGACAACAACATCTCTTTCTAGGCGTTTGACGATGCATAAGCAACAGGGCTCCATTAAGGAACATATAATCTCTTCCCACAACCAAACCATCGCCAGAGAAATCCTAGTAAACAACACAGAAATCATCGATAGATACAGCGATAGCAGGCGGCTTGACGTTTACGAGGCACTACACATCAAGAAGTCAACACCAGCAATCAACAGCCAATTATTGCACAACTATATTCTACCCACCACCAGACTCCGCTCCAATATAGAAACATCAAGAAATATGGACCAATAGGCTTTCTACAAACACTTCTATTCAATATCCATTGTTTCGTGTTCTGTCTTGTGTTGATGAAATTAATACCCTATTAATACCACCTCTTGTTCTGTTTTGTGTTGATGAAATTAATGCCCTATTAATGCCACATCTTGTTCTGTCTTGTGTTAATGCCACATCACCCCTTCCACCTCACTCAAATGTAGAAATAAAATCGGAGATGCGTAAGTTCTATTCAGTTGTGTATTTGTGAACTAAAGTCTTTGAAAATGTAATAAGTTTTACGAAACGCGCTCGTGTCGCGTCAGACTAGAAATAAAAATGAATTTTGGAGAATTGATTTTTGATTTACCTCCAACAGTGAAAAGAAATGTACGAAAGATTGAGAAAATTCGTGTTAGAATTATTAATCTTACTTTTTCGGTCATATTTAATAATATATGTCTACAGGAAAGACTGCTACCAAAATATACTAATATATATATATATATATATATATATATATATATATATATATATATATATATATATATATATATATATATATATATATATATATATATATATATATATATATATATATATATATATATATATATATATATATATATATATATATATATATATATATATATATATATATATATATGAGTGTGTATGTGCAGAAATAATATTAATAAAACAATTAACATCGTGTAGTGTACTCTATATGTCAAAATATATTACTTTGAAACCCATATCATTCACTAAAAAAAATTGGACTACTCTTTTATCACAAATTCGCTACTTTTAGACCGTCAGCTCGCTACTTTCAGCAATTTGGATATGACAACCCTGGCAGTGGTGCCAGATTGGGCTACTTTTGAGAGACCCGCGCTCCCAAATTTTTAATTTTGCTACTTGCTACTTTTTGGGCTAATTAGTTTTAGTTTAGTTCATTTATTATGCACCCCATACCCATCTTGTGGGCGGTAGTGGAAAGGGTTACAGAGGCACTTAATGGGCTCAGGGACTGAACCCCACAATTCATTTAGTTAAGCAAGTTACAATCTTGATGAGCTAGTTACAAAATTCAATATAAGTCGTCACATCAACAATGGGTTCGAGATCGACCATAAGTGGTGCCATAGTTTGTATATTCAAGAGATGAAACAGTCATGAGCTAGAGGGATGTGCTGAGTCCATAAGGAGGCGGAGCTTCCAGAGATACCTTCCTGTGATTGGCTGTTGCGAGGAATACCAACACTCTTTTATGAATAAAATTTATACTAAGATATAGGCCCTTGTGCACAACAACAAGGTTGTTGTGAAAAAGAACAACAATTTCTGTTTTGCACCTAACAGAAATCTCCATCTAACTGAATAATTTACTCAAATAAGAGGGCAGAGCAGCGTATCATTATTTGTCACGGCAACCCCCACTGATGACGTCACAAGTTAGGTAGCCAGCCCATTTTTATATAACATCTTTTATATCCTGCAATATTTAATTATCAGCATATTAATACTTTTAAATACTT